GATGAAGTGAGGGGCAAGAACATCCTCATACAAAGGTCAGCTACAAGTTGCACCCATCACTTCATACCCCGTCAACTAAGACTTGATCATGGGACTATGTGAAGATTCAAGGGAAACTGGGAGCAGTAGCCTCCAGCTGGGGAGCTATGTGCCCAGCTGAAACTCAGGTGGATTCTATTGGACAAGTGGCTACTGGGAACAGTTAGCAGCCTCTGCCACTAGTCCTCTTCTGGTCCCATAAAGCACCTACATTAGTTTCTTAGGGCTGCCATAGCAAAATCCCACAAACTACGTGACTTATAAGAACAGAATTTTATTTTCTCACAGTTCTGAAGGCTGGAAGCCTGGATTCAAAGTGTCAGCAGGACCCTGTTCTCTCCAGTGGTTCTGGTGGAAGATCCTTTCTTGTCTCTCCCAGCTTCTTGCAGCCCCAGGAGTTCCTGGGCTTGGAGCTGCGCCATAACTCCATGTTCGTGTGTCTCTGTGTCTCTTCTCTTCCATGGGACACCACTCATATTGGATTAGGACCCACCCTACTCCAGTATGATCTCAAACATCTTCAAAGACCCTTTTTCCAAATAGGTCACAGATACCAGGAGTTAGGACTTGAATATATCCTTTTGGGGGACACAAATTAGTTCATAACAGTCCCTATGCACATCCTTATTCTCACACATAAAGCTCACTTATCATCTCCCTAAGAGAGGCAAATCACAGCCCTGCCTTGTAGGATCTTGGGGGTACATGTCCTCTTCCTCAGGTCCTGCTGGCTTAGTGGCCTATCAGCTAAAAACAGAAAACAAATTCTTCTCCCCACACTTCAGCCTCACTCCTGCAATATAAAGCATGGAGCAGGAATAATAGCAACAGAACCATGAAGAACCCCTGCCTTCCCTCCCCTGCTGTTTCTGCCCTGGGGTGACCACTTGTCCATTGCCTGCTGGAGCCCCTGGCTTTGCCCTCTAGGAGGTTCCTCCTTGTTGTTGTTGTTGTTGTTATGTGCCATCGAGTCATACCTGACTCATAGCGACCCCTCCTTGGGTTTCCGAGGCAGTATCACTACGGAAGTAGGATTGCCCAACCATCCTTCTGAGGAGTGGCTGGTGGGTTTGAACCACCAGCCGTCTGGTTAGCAGGCAAGTGTCTTAGCCACTATGCTACCAGAGCTCCCGGAGGTTCCTCCTTAGCCTTTATTATCTTTGGCCACATGTCTGAAGTGCGTGTTGGAGACATTGCTCTCCTAGGGGTACATGGCTCTCTCAGCACACTTCTTGATGGTGGAATTCGGGGGCCCTTGGGGTTTCTTTAGTGATTAAACAATCACAGGTTTTTGTAGACCAGATTTGTAGGTTCTTTGGCTCTAAAATTCTATTTAAAACTCAAAACTTCCAAATGGACCATGGTAATGGTTGAATGGGAGTTCTGGTGGCATAGTGCCTAAGGCATTTGACTGCTAACCAGAAGGCTGGTGGTTCAAACCCACCAGCCACTCCTCGGAAGGAAGGTTGGGCAGTCTACTTCCGTAGAGATACTGCCTCGGAAACCCAAGGAGGGGTCGCTATGAGTCAGATCTGACTCGACAGCAATGAGTTGTTTTGTTTTTTGGTTTGTTTTTGGAATGGTTAAACAAAATAATAAACATAGCTAATGTTATTGAAGGAGCTCTGGTAGCATAGTGCCTAAGGCACTTGACTGCTAACCAGAAGGCTGGCGGTTCAAACCCATCAGCCACTCCTCGGAAGGAAGGTTGGGCATTCCTACTTCCGTAGTGAAACTGCCTCGGAAACCCAAGGAGGGGTCGCTATGAGTCGGGGCCGACTCGATGGCAAATAACAACAACAACAACAATGTTATTGAAGGAGCTCTGGTGGCCTAGTACTCTGGTGGTGCAGTGGTTAAGGCATTTGGCTGCTAACCAAAATGTTAGTGGTTTGAACCCCTCAGCCACTCCGTGGGAGAAAGATGAGACAGTCTGCTTCCATAAAGATGTACAACCTAGGAAATCCTATGGGGGTCGCTAGGAGTCTGAATTGACTTAATGACAATGAGCGAGTGAGTGAATATTACTGCAGGAGCCTGGGTCAAAAGGTCGGCAATTTGAACTCACTAGCTGCTCCACGGGAGAAAGATGTGGCAGTCTGCTTCTGTGAAGATTACAGCCTTGGAAACCCTATGGAGCAGTTCTACTCTGTCCTGTAAGTCGCTCTGAATTGAATAGACTCAACAGCATCAGATTAATGTTACCAAATTGCACATGTAAAAAATATTGGAAAGGCAAATAAAATTTGTTACATATATGTTTACCACATTGAAAAAGAAAAAAACTTGAAAACCTCCCAATCCATTTGCTTCCAATCACTTCCATACAGGAGTAGCACACCCACCGTCCCTTTGACATATTTCTTAAACCTGCCAACTCTCCTTTTATGCTAACAGGCTTCCTGCTTGACCCATCCCTGCTGCAGCATTGTCCTGGTGGCTACCTCAAGGCACCTGAAACAACTGGCTGCAGGGAAGCTGACATCTTTAATGAGCTCTGACCACCATTGCCAGGCAGGGAAACTTTACTGTTATTATGATTAGTTGCTCTTAGGCTTGTTCCACTCCCTGATACCTTAGAGATAACAGAACAAAAGTTGGTGGGCCCTGTGCCATCTGCATGCCACAGTGCCTAAGGCATTTTCTACCAGGAAGGTTGGCAGTTCCAACCCAACAGCATCCCATGGGAGGAAGATGGGACAACCTACTTCCTGTAAAGATTTACCACCTCGGAAACCCGATAGGTCACTATGAGTCAGAGTTGACTCAATGGCAGTGAGTTTGAGTTTTAGGTATATGTTGAGTATCTTTCAGTTAGGGGCTTATCCCCCAGCACTGTGTCAGACAGTGTTCTGTTGGGATCCATAGGGTTTTCATTGGCTCATTTTCAGAAGTAGATTGTCAGACATTTCCTGAACCCACCTTAGTCTGGAAGCTCTGCTGAAACTTGACTCTACTGGTATTGGAAATATTGCGGTCATAGCTTCCTACACCATAGCCACATGCAAGCCACCACAGTGCAATAAACCGGTCCACAGGTGGCGGAGAGGTTGTTAATGTCAGGCAAATGGTCTGCTTTCCAGGCTGTTGCAGGCTCTGCTATACCAAGCAGTCTGCTGTAGGCTAGCAAGGTCATCAGCTTCCCATCTTGCAATGTCTGTGTTTTCTCATCCACACGGCCCAGCCACAAAGCCAGTGTCACGTAGTTTAGGCTTTTTTGCTAAGGCTGCATCTCAGTTTCAGTACCAATCTCTGTATTCGTTTCCAGCCAAGCTGCTTTAACAAAAAGATGCCGGAATACAATGACTAAAGCATAATAAAATTTCTTTTCCTCTCTCATAACAATTCAGAGTAGGTGGTTGGTCCACGGAAGGTAGGCAGCTCTGCTCCATGAGCTAAGGGTCCAGGGACCCAAATTCCTTCCTAAGTCAATTCTCCATTTTCAGGACCATAAGCCACATGGTCAAAGCTGGCTCCCTCCATCATCTCCATCTTCCAGCCTGTGGAAGAGGAAAAAGAAAGAACAAATAAACAAGCAATCTCCTTACAAAAATAGGTGATCCAGAAGTGCTCTGGGAGCTCTTGTGGTGTACTGCCTTAAGGTGTTTGACTACTTACCAGAATGCTGGCGGTTCAAACCTACCAGACATTCCTTGAAAGGAAGGTTGGGCAATATACTTCCGTAGAGATACCACCTCAGAAACCCAAGGAGGGGTTGCTGTGAGTCGGGACCGACCCGAGAGAGTTAGTTTGGTGTTTGGTTTAGAGAAGTGTTTCACATCACTTCGAGTCACACCCGATTGGCCAAAACTTAGTCATATGGTCATATCATGCTTCAAGGAAGTCTGGGAAATGTAGTCACACTGGTCAAGCTGAGTGATTATGTGACCAGCCATATTGAAATGGAAAAAAAAAAAAACCTCACTGCTGTTGAGTCGATTTGACTCATAGTGGTCCCCTTTTTGGGTTTCCGAGGTGATATCTCTACAGAAGTAAATTGCCCAATCTGCCTTCCGAGGAGTGGCTGGTGGATATGAGCCACCAGCCTTCTTTCTGGTTAGCAGTCAAATGCCTTAGGCACTACGTCACAAGAGCTCCCTGTTGGAGTGGGGTTCACTTGTATTATTTCAAGGAAGAAGGAGAAAATTAATTCTGGGGAAAATTAATATCTTACTACAAAGAGTGATACAGAGCACATGCCGTGTTCTGATGGTCAGGGAAATTCCAGCTCCCATGGCCATTTGTCATCACCTCACCTTCCTGAAAACTCTGTCAGCCAATCTGGCCTTACCAGTTGTCCCCCATGGACAGTCCTGAGAGGATCATTGGGGTGGACTCCCTACTGAGGGCTGTGCCATCTTAGCAGCTCACCTCCCATTGGAGGCTGGGTATCGCTTTAAGATTTATGTAATCACAGGCCCTTTTTGCAAAGCTTGGGAGTTGTTTTTATTGGTTTGTTTACTGGCTTTGACAGTTTATATGTTTTGTGACACAGCTCACATAGAACCCTGGCTAAACCTTGAAAGCTTGTAACCAGCACCAAATGTTTTTCTCAGGCCCAATTTTTAAATCAGAAACCCTACCATATAGCTTCTGTCTCTCATATCTGGACCTTGGGCTCTGCTCCCCTTCTAATCCTCAACATCTGCATTGGCCGTGATCTCTGCTAGGGTGGTGAGACTGTGTTAATCTACCCTGTTATGTTAACCCCTGGTCCCAGGCTGTGCTTCAAGATGGAGGCATTGGGTAAATCACGAGAGTGGAAGGTTATTGGCAAGAAGCACTGCACAAATGGGCCCAAGAATCTATCAATGCTTCAGGTCAAATTACCCTCCATTTTCCCAGCCTAGTTCATAGCAGCGGGGCCCTTGCCATACTGGAATAGGTCAAGCCTCTTACCCAACACATGTAGCAGGAAGTTGTTCCACTGGACTTATCACCGGGCTCTCCTTTTTTCACAGGGTGCAATATAGAAAATGCCTGCTACCCACTGGGCATCTGTGCTGAACGAACTGCCATCCACAAGGCCGTCTCAGAAGGGTACAAGGACTTCAGGGCCATTGCTGTTGCTACGTGAGTGGAAAAGCTGGTCATAGCAAAATGCGTTCATCTATTCAGGCAACATTCACTGCAAATCTGTCATTCATTCATTTATCTAACATATTTAATGGGTACTTCCTATGTGTCAGGCACTGTGTAGGACCCTGAAGAAGGAAAATGAGAGGGAAACAACCACAGCAAATTAATACAAAGGCTTGTTGTTGTGTGCCATCAAATCAATTCTGAGTCATAGCAACCCTATAAGACAGAGTAGAATTGCCCCATAGCATTTCCTAGGGTGTAATCTTTACAAAAGCAGATTGCCACATCTGCTGTTACACTGTGGGGAATGTAACCGGTGTCACAAAACAAAATATGTATGAACTATTGACTCTAAAATGAATCTGCTTTGTAAACTTTTACCTAAATCACAATAAAAAGTTTTAAAAAGAAAAACAGCAGAGTAGAATTGCCACATACTGTTTCCTAGGCTCTGGTAGCATAGTGGCTAAGACACTTGCCTGCTAACCAGACGGCTGGTGGTTCAAACCCACCAGCCACTCCTCGGAAGGAAGGTTGGGCAATCCTACTTCTGTAGTGATACTGCCTCAGAAACCCAAGGAGGGGACGCTATGAGTTGGGTTTGACTCGACGGCACATAACAACAACAACAACGTTTACAGAAGCAGATTGCCACATCTTTCTCCTGAGGAGCTGGTGGGTTTGAACCACCAGCCTTTCAGTCAGCAGCTGAACACTTAACTATGGTACCACCAGCGTTCCTTAATACAAGGGCAGGTGTGTTCATATTCTAATAACCACACAAAAGTATGGCAGACTCCCTACAAAATACAACAGAAAGGCAGCACACAACCAAAACAAAATCACTGCCGTCAAGTTGGATCTGACTTATAGCAACCCCTCCTTGGGTTTCTGAGGCTGTATCACTACAGAAATAGATTGCCCAATCTTTCTTCCAAGGGGTAGCTGGTGGGTTTGAACCACCAGCCTTCTGGTTAGCAGTCAAATGTGAGTCAGTTCCAACTCACAGCAATCTTTTAGGACAGAGTAGCACTGCCCCATAGAGTTTCCAAGATTGTAAATCTTTATGGAAGCAGACTGCCTCATCTTTCTCCCATGGAGCAGCTAGTGGGTTCAAATTGCCAACATTTCGGTTAGCAGGCTAATGCTTTATCCACTGCACCTAAAGCTTCTATAGACTCCCCTGCCATCATGCCCTCCCCCACACTTTACTGTTTGTGCCACTAAAGTGGCACTAAAGCAAACTGATGCCCAGTACAGGCTGCAACATGGATAGACCTTGAGAACGTTATGCTGAGTGAAGTAAGTCACAAAAGGGCAAATGTTGTATATTCTCATTTATGTGAGAGTTCTAGAATAGGCAAATGTATAAAGACCAAGGTTTATGGACAGTTGCCAGGGGCAGGAGGAATGAAGAAGGAAGGAGTCAATGCTTAGGAAACAGTGAGTTACTGTTTGTGGTGATGGGAAATTTTCCAATGATTCTGGGTGAGGAATGCACAGCATGAGTAATATAACTAATGTTACTAAACTGTGCACATGAAAAATGTTGAATTGGCAAATGTTATATATACACACACAATAATTAAAAATGTCAAGCCTTAAAAACAAAAAGAGAGAGAGAAATGAGCCTCTGAAAGGATGAAGAACTTCCAGAAGTGAGTGGCACAGCTAGGACAAGAGCTCAAGTCTCCATAGTCCCACTAAGGTCACTTTCTGCTATGCCATGCTGTGCCCCAACCCCCAAGTGGCAAGAAAAGCTGATGGGAAAGGAAAGGAAAGCCAGGTCGTCCAGGAGTGAGTGATCAAATGGTAGAGGGACCCCTCCTTGGGTAAGGGGAGGGACCCAGGACCCAACCCCCAAGCAGCAGGAAAAGTGGAGGGGAAAGGAAAGGAAAGCCAGGGCATCCAGGACAGAGCTAGCAAGTGGCAGGGATCCAGTAAAGGGAGGGTGGAGAGGTTTCGAACAGCTAAGGGAGACAACCTTGTCTGTCAGTTTGTCATACTGTGGTGGTGTGTTGCTGTGAGGTTTGAGGCTGTGATACCAGTGTTTCAAATGCCAGCACAGTTGTGTGCACAAGTTTCACCTCAGCTTACAGACTGAGATAGACTAGGAAGAAGGAAGAGACCATCCACTTCTCAAAGAATTGGCCAGGGAAAACTTGACAAACAGAAGAGAAACAGTATCTGTTACAATACTAGCCAACTATATGAATAGCCCAGAAATACTGTCTGATACAGTGCAGGAGAACAAGCCACTTAGGTCAGAAGGCTCTCAAAATACAACTGGGAAAGAGCAGCATCATCAGAGTAGAACCAACCTTACTGATAGGGATAAAGTAAAGCTTTCGAGACCTCCATTTGCTGACGTGACATAACTCAAATTGAGGAGAAACAGCTGCAAACATCCATTAATAATTGGAACATGGAATGTATGAAGTATGAATCTAGGAAAATTGGAAGTTGTCAGAAATGAAATAGAACACATAAAGATTGATATCCTAGGCATTAGTGAGCTGAAGTGGACTGGTTTTGGCCATTTTGAATCAGACAACCATATGATCTACTATGCCGGGAATGACAATTTGAAGAGGAATGGCATGACATTCATCATCACAAAGGATGTTTCAAGATCTGTCCTGAGTACAGTGCTGTCAGTGATAGGATAATATCCATACATCTACAAGGAAGACCAGTTAATACGACTATTATTCAAATTTATGCACCAACCACCAAAGCCAAAGATGAGGAAATTGAAGATTTTTATCAACTTCTGCAGTCTGAAATTGACCGAACATGCAATCAAGATGTGTTAATTATCACTGATGACTGGAATGTAGAAGTTGGAAACAAAGAAGAATCACTGGTAGTTAGAAAATTTGCCTTTGGTGACAGAAATAATGCTGGAGATCACATGATAGAATTTTGTAAGACCAACGACTTATTCACTGCAAATACTTTTTTCAACAGCACAAACAGTGGCTATACACGTGGACTTCACCAGATGGACTATACAGGAATCAGATTGACAACATCTGTGGCAAGAGGCAATGGAAAAGCTCAATATCTTCAGCCAAAACAAGATGACAGGAGAGACTCTGAAGCTTGCCCTTGAGCAGAGCACAGCCAAAGCAAAAGGAAGAACTGACAAGATAAAAGAGCCAAACAGAAGATTTCAAAGAGCAGCTTGAGCAGACAAAACCAATTATTATAATGAAATGTGCAAGGACTTAGAGTAAGAAAACCAAAAGGGAAGAACATGCTCAGCATTTCTCAAGCTGAAAGAACTGAGGAAAAATGTAAGCCTTGAATTGCAATATTGAAAGATTCTATTGGCAAAATATTGAATGATGCAGGAAGCATCAAAAGACGATGGAAGGAATACACAGAGTCACTGTACCAAAAAGACCTGGTCAATATTCATCCATTTCAGGAGGTGGTATATGATCAAGAACCAATGATACTGAAGGAAGAAGTCAAAGCTGCACTGAAGGAACTGCCAAAGAACAAGGCTCCAGGATTGACAGAATACCCATAAGATGTTTCAACAAATGGATGCCCCATTGGAGGCACTCACTTGGTTATACCAAGAGATTTGGAAGACAGCTACCTGGCCAACTGACTGGAAAAGGTCCATATCTGTACCCATTCCAAAGAAAGATGATCCCACAAAACTCAGAAATTATCAAACAATATCATTAATATAACATGCAAGTAAAATCTTACTGAAGATAATTCAAAAACGATTGCAACAGTATATTGACATAGAGCTTCCATAAATGCTAGCTGGATTCAGAAGGGGATGTGGAACAAGGGATATCATTGCTGAGGTCAGATGGATCTTGGCTCAAAGTAAAGAATACCAGAAAGATGTTTACTTGTGTTTTATTGACTATGCAAAAGCATTTGATTGTGTGGATCATAACAGATTGTGGTTAACATTGAGAAGAATGGGAATTCCAGAACACTTAATTGTACTCATGAGGAACCTGTACATAGACCAGGAGGCTGTCATTTGAACAGAATAATGGAACACTGCATGGTTTAAAATCAAGAAGGGAGTGAGTCAGGGTTGTATCCTTTCACCATACTTATTCAATCTATATGCTGAGAAAATAATCCAAGAAGATGGACTATATGAAGAAGAACATGGCATCAAGATTGGAGGAAGAATCATTAACAACCTGTGATATGCTGACGACACAACTTTGGTTGCTGAAAATGAGGATCACTTGAAGTACTTACTGATGAAGACTGAAGAATACAGTCTGCACTATGGATTATATCTCAATATAAAGAAAACAAAAATCCTCATAACTGGACCTATAAGCAGCATCACAATAAATGGAGAAAAGATTGAAGTTGTCGAAGACTTCACATTGCTTGGTTCTACAATCGATGCCAATGGAAGAAGCAGTCAGGACATCAGACGACATATAGCACTGGGCAAGTCAGCTGCAAAGGACCTCTTTCAAGTGCTGAGGAGCAAAGATGTCTCTTTGAGGACTAGGGTGTGCATGACATAAGCCATGATATTTTCAATCGTCTCACATGCATGTGAGAGCTGGACAATGAATAAGAAAGACCTAAGAAGAATTGATGGTTTTGAGTTGTGGTGCTGGCAGAGAATGCTGAGAGTATGATGGACTACTAAAAGAACTAACAAATCTGTCCTGGAGGAAGTGCAGCTGGAATGCTCCTTGGAAGTGAGAATGGCCAGACTTTGTCTCACCCACTTTGGTCATGTTATAAGGGACCATTCCCTGGAGAAAGCTGTCAAGCTTGGTAAGGTGGAGGGTCGACAAAAGAGGGGAAGGCCCTCAACAAGATGGACTTACCCAGTAGCTGCGGCAATGGGCTCAAGTGTAGCAGGGATTGTGGAGCTGGCGCGGGACTGGACAGTGTTTCGTTCTGCTGTGCACAGGGTCGCTATGAGTCGAAGACAACTTGACAGCACCTAACAACAACATGCTGTGCCAGGAAGTAAAATG